GTGTGTGTGTGTGTGTGTGTGTGTGTGTGTGTGTGTGTAGGTGTTCCAGGACTGATCACAGCAGATATGGTGAAAGAAGGTGCAGCAGTCATCGATGTTGGCATAAACCGCATCACGAACCAGAACACGGGGAAGGTCCGGCTCATCGGTGACGTCGACTTTGAAGGTTAAAACAAAACAAACAAAGAAGTTTTTAAAAATGTTAGAAATACAGATTTTGTCTTAGTTTATTTAAAACCTCTAATAGATAAACAGAAGGTTCTTCTGTGCCATTTTGCTGCTGTACAGAAATATGGGTTCTCTTTAAATCTTTTAATCTCTTGGCAAATGAGGAACATCTTTTAACTTTGAGTCATGTTTCAGATATTTATTTAATTTTTTTTTTTTACAGGAGTAAAAGAGAAAGCTGGTTTCATCACTCCTGTTCCTGGAGGTGTGGGTCCAATGACTGTAGCCATGCTGATGAAAAACACTGTGACTGCTGCCCGTATTGCATTGATGCATTAAATACTCTGCATTTTAACAAAACAACATAAAGAAAACATGCGTTTAATGCATACTTTTCTTTCTGTACCAACTTAAACTCAGATCCTTTTGCATCTCAAACAATTTAAGAGCTAGAAAAACTTCATGCCTGCTGGGGAAACCTACTTGATATGTACTGTGTTTATATCAATTTATGGAAGTTATTTATTTCAGATTTTTGTTTATTTTAGAAATTTAAAATGACTATTTTTTCTACTGGTTTGGTTCTTGGAAAAACAGTCCAGAATATCTGTGTAAATCATAATAAAGATGAGTCTGTGCCAATGCCATAATCTGTAATAGTTTGTTGTCTGTCTGTATCAGAAAGCAGTTTTATACATTTACAACTCACTAGCTTTTAAACTGAACTCACCACAGATGAGCAACTTTAGCAAACCTGAAGATGGCTCAAACTCAGTAAGTTTTACAGATTTTAGATAAAAATTTGATGTGATAGAAGCTGTAGGTTATAAAACATGATGGTTTATGTATTTAAAAATTGGACGTAGAAGAGTGAGCGATAGGCGTTCTTTTAAGGAAATCTCAACTTAGCATAAAAAGTAAGGAAGTTAATACTTGGTAGATTTTTTCTTTGTTGTAACAATGTTTCTTGGCAATAAATCTTAAACAGTTGGAAAGCCTTTTCATTTCCCTTTTAAATGGTGCCACATTTGTAAGGAACATGCATTTGTGGGATGAGCAGAGGGCTGAGTGTGTGGGTTGTGAACATGAAACATTTTCCAAATCTCCTCTGCCAAACATTTCTGCTGTTACCAKTGACTCTTGTTTTGAGCTTCTGGTACCTGCCAATCAGGTGTCCCCTATAAGATTTATTATTGTTACAAAAAAAATCTACCAAACACAAACTTTGTTACTTTTTGTTCTAAGCATAGTTTTATTCTGTAAGATTTTCAGATTCCCACAAACAACCCCAACTTTGAAATGGGGTAAAATGTCAATGAGAAACATGAAAGGATAAATTGGTAAACCTCACTATTTATAATTCATTCACAATGGAATAAAGGAAACGAAAATCTTGAAAGTATTGTATCTTTTAAAAAAAATTAGAGGGGGTGTTTATTTTTTAGACTGATAATCCCATTGAGACCGTTTCTGTATCAATTCAACAATACTGAGTTTTTGCTTGAATTTTTGTTGCATTTTGAGCAAAATGTTTTCAGTTGAGGTTTGGACTTGAGCTCAGTTCAGCACCTGGACTGTGCTTTATGAAGTCATGCTGTGGTGGGTTTAGCATTGTCTGGATGAAATATAAAGCCTTTCCTGAAAACGATATAATCTGGATGGAAGCATGTTATAAAACTTGTATTTATTGTTCAGTATCGATAGCGCCTTGCCCATGCCAGAGGCACTAATGTACCCCTATACCAGGGGTCTGCAACCTTTACAATCAAAAGAGCCATTTCTGCTCCTCGGCTCGCTAATAAAATGTGTCCAGAGAAGCAAAATAAGCTACAACTGTGATTATCAACTGGTGATTCGTGGGCCTTTTTCAAGACTTATTCGTGAACCTTTATGGTCAGTGGAGGTGACGTAAACCTAAAAAATATATTCAATTCAATTCAAAAATACTTTATTGATCCCAGAGGGAAATTAGGTGTTGTTGTTACTCATTTAACCAAAGAAAAATATTTAAATAATATAATAATTTTAATTAATTTTAATAATATTAAAATAAATATTGTGAATTTTATTATTATTTTTACACTTCAGGACTGAAGAAAAAAAACAAATGACACAAAAAAATGTTGGCTATAGTTTATACAGAATTTCATAAAAACTAATACAGCTGAATTAGACATTTTTTTGCCCCTAATTCTTATTATTATGTAGTCCTAAAGGTGTTTTAAGATAATCCTGATGGATTTGAGAGAAAAATCATAGAAGAAGTTGGATTATTTAGGGATTATTTTGGTAGACAACAAGGCTAGCACGAGCTTTTACTTTTTATATTAGTAGTATTGATCACATATTTGCATACAATTTATTAGTGTTGTGAGAATAAAAAACAAATCAAACAAAAAAAATCTGTTATGTTTGGTCAAATGTTCAAAGAGCCACATGTGGCCCCAGAGCCGCAGGTTGCAGACCCCTGCCCTGTACCATCAGAAAGGCCGGCATTTAAACAGTGTGTCCATAACAGTCCCTCTCTTTAGTAAGGAATGTTAAATTTAGATTTGTCTGAACACAGAACAGTTTTTCACTTTGCCGACGTCCATTTTCAGACAGGATATCTTCTTTGCGTGATAGAGCTTTAAGCAGCGTTTGAATATGGCACCGTGAATTCTAAGCGTGTTGGATCCTGAGTCCATGCAGCGAGTTCAGATGAATAAAACTTAACTGAGTGTTTGATGTAGCTAACAAGGTAAAACTCACACTAATGATGATTTAAAAGTCCTAACTTCAAACTTTTATTATCCATGACGTGAGATTCACCTGTTMTTTACAGCGTTTCTCACCTGCTCATCCTTCATCCGGTCTTTAAAGAAGTTCCCTTTTATTATTACTGTGCACACTCAGGTCTGTCCAACCTGTTGAAACTTAAAACATCTGCGTGGGTTGCTCCTYAGGGATTGCCTTAAACGCCCTCAGGCGGCGGCGTTGCTACGTGACGAAGGTATGCAAATTGTTTTAAACTTTTGTTATTATTTTTGTAAAACTCTTTGATTGGCTGAGGAGCGTTCCAGCAGTTGGAACCGGTTATATAAGCGTGGATGTCGGAGCTGGTCGAAGGAAACTAGGAGAAAAGCGACAAGACAGGATGTTTACGCTGAGGAAAACACACCTGGAGAGAAGTGAGTCGCTTTTATATTTTTTATTTTTCTGCTTTAAGTTTAATAAAATTATTTCATTTTGTAGTTAACTGTACTGAGGATATTAAAATAACCAAATGACAGATTTTTGTGAAAAACTGAAATGTTTTGGTGCATAAAAGTAAGAAAAACTGATATTAACATAAATTAAAACCAGTTTTAAAGCATTTTTAGGTGTAAAGTACCCACATTGTTGTTTTTACAGTAATATTTTCTGACTTTTATTGTAATTTTTTTTTCTTTTCAGCACTCTTCCACACACTCATGGTGCTGCTTCTGCTGACCACAGCCGATTTGGCTAAAATCTCTTCGACCGATGTGTCTCCTCCGGACTCAAACTCAACTCTGTCTCTCAACAGTAAGTAGCTTCACATGGAGGGTTTTTTAGGCCAGTTTGAATAAACACAGGGTAACATTGGAGGAAACATCATTGTCTTTTCCTTTGGAARGCACAATATCCACAAAACGTTGCAAAGAAAACATATATTTTTTATTTTAATACATTGGCACAACACAAGTTTTAGATTTTGGGAGGAGGGAAGCAGATGAAAGGATTAAACACATCTAAAAAGTGTCTTTTCATGTAATTTTCATCCATTGTTATGTAGTTAACTGCTGTTTTTTTTAACCAATGCTTACTTGGAAGAAAAGTATTTTTTTTTAAATTGTGTTAAATATTTCTGTCATTCTCTGCAGGCAGCATGGAGACACCTAAAGTCCAGTTTTTACACAGACCCTGTGGAAGTGAACATTCAAATTACTGTCTTCATGAGGGTAAATGTGTGTACCCCCGAGACAGCAACGACACTCCTTCCTGCATGTAAGCTTCACGTAACATCAGTACAAATGTTCTCTGTTTTTTTTTTCTTCTTATGAAATGTACTCACGTGAGTTTTTTTTCCCTCTCTCTCTGATCTGCAGATGCAAAGATTCGTACCAAGGACCGCGCTGCGAGACCTACAGCAGTTCCATTACTGGAGCCTTAAATCAGGACCAACTGATCGGCATCATCTTAGGTGTCATCATGGTCGCCCTCTTTTTGGCCGTGCTCATCTCCTGCTATGTCTACTGGAGGTGAGCAATTACCGTGTTTTTACGGTAGGAAAAGAATTACGAGTGAAGAAACGTGCTGTGTTTCAAAACTATATGTTTTATAGTCAGTCATAGATTTATTGAGATGTCAATGAGTAATAAAAAAAATAATGAAAGTCTTTGTTTTTTTTTTCAGATACAGAGCATCATCGTCTATGACAAAACTGGTACCGTCCGAGTCTTCAGTATGACCGGTTTCAAATATTTATCATCGCCATCATTTCACATAGAAAGTTTTTTTCTTTATTGTAGAAAACCACAACTCAATTATTCTGTTTATTTTATATATTCTTAATGTAAACAGTTATTCTGCACTGTGATCATCGAAATGAGCAAAATCTCTGCTGTATATATTATTATTATTATTTAGTTAAAGTGCATTTCTTTTGTTTTGTCCTTTATGTGTACTTTTTTTTGTAAAGTTGTGCTGATTTAATTGTAAAGTTGTTAATTTATTTTTTTGTAATAAACTTGGTAAATTCTCAAAGCAGAAATTCCAGTGTCATCATTTGACGCTTTAATTCAGTCGTTATTTTTTTATTTAATTTGTGTCAATTAGATTTTTACTTATGATTCAATAAAAACTTTAATTATTCCACAAACTAAAGGTAAAGAGCTCATCYCAAAAATCGAATCCCGCCACAAGATTAGACTGAAAAAGCATTTTCAACAGCGTGTTAGTTCCTGAAGGCTGTGGCTCCCTCTGGTGGTCGAACCRAAGTACTACAGCAAACCTCAACAGAAACTGAACATGCTTTTTAAAAAGTGGATTTGGACATGCATTTATTTCATTCTTAAAAACAACAAAAGTCCATTAAAAATAGAAAAAAAATAAACCAATTAAAAAATTAACCAATTAGCTTACATTCAAATCAGAACAGAATGATATTCTCACATTCATAAACCCATTTTATACTCAGTGGAACAAAGTAAACACAAATTTGACTTTGTTTCTTGGTGTTCATGGTTGTGGGGGTGGGGGGGTTCTCTGTGATGAATGGGGTCCTATCTGCTACAAGTGGTGTGAGAGTTTGGTTCACATTGCTGCTGGTTGAACCCCTTTAGAAATGGATGTTATGGTTTTAAATTGGACTTTTTTCTGTATAAAAGACCTAAACCGTCCTGCTACCTTTAGGTCAGAATGACCCATGAGGTCTTTGGGGGTCATTTAGCGAGAGTTSAGGCTACAATGGACACATTTTATTCTTTTAAATGATTAAATAGAAGTTTATACCTTAATAAAAATAGTTTATGATTAAATTTGGAGTCATTTTGATCCAAGACCAACAGGACTGTCTAGATACTTTTTCTAAGAGTTATTTGTAATAATTCAATTCACTTCAGTTTATATAGCGCCATGTCGCAACATACGTTGTCTCGGGGCACTGTACATAAAAAGAATAATCTAAAGAAGAAGGCAACAGATTGTGTTGAATCACTTCATCACAGTCTCCCAAACGGTGGAGGAAAAACTCCCTGCTAATCAGGAAGAAACCTCCAGCAGAACCAGGCTCAGGACAGGCGGCCATCTGCACTGACCGGCTGGTTGGAGGACAGGAAAGAGACACAGACAAACACAGAAGAACTGGTCCAGGTGCACCTTCTTCTGATAAAGAGACAAAGAAAACACATGTTATTGATAGAAATAATTACAATAAGCATGTAGAGAAGAGAGACTAAAGACAACAGCAGAGTGAGGAAATGTGCTCAGTTTGTGCTCCAGCAGTCTAAGTCTATAGCAGCAGAAATGAAGAATAATTCAAGAAACTTAAGTCTAACTATAGGATTTATCAAAAAGGAAAGTCTTCAGTCTAATCCAACCCATTCTCACTCCCAAGTCGTCACATAGTGACGCTTTGGCAAGGTTCCCTC